GAAAGTGTGGTCCAGATACCAAGTTAGTTCTGCTGATTCTACTAAATGGTATAACTCACTTCCAGGACTTTTGCTTGTAAAGTATGGGCAGTGACCTTTGTACAAAGGTGACACTGAAGATTCATGACACTATAATCCATTGAATGTTATTCCACTTTCCTGGCCAGATGAAACCTGAATATTCACAGTGAGGTAAGGAAGCATGAGAAGGCTTTACAACGGAGAAGGCTTTACAAATGCAACACGTGCTTCCAGAGCTCTCCCAAGGGCATGAGGTGTTAGATTTTGCCAAGATGCTGATATATCTTAAATTCTCTATTTTGTTTCAGCGATGACTGTCATGATCATAGACAATATGGTGCTGGTGAAGACATTCCAGAGTCCAAAAAAAGGGTGACATTTGCTTTAAACATCATGCATAGAGGGGAAGGCAGTGACATAGGTCTCATGTGTTGCAAACTGAACAGAATGGAGGTGGGTGAGAATTAGGTCAATCATACCATCTTCTCTTTCTAAAGGTGTACATCAGGGTCTCATGCCTACAGTCATGTGCTGTGTCTTCATCCAGGGCAGTATATTCTGATGGCTACAATTAACTATGTGGTATTAAAAGAAGCTATTACTTATGCTATGTACCATGGTACTGGGTATGAGTGGAAGTAAGTACAGGAAATGAAAATCATAGGTCTTTAGAAATGTTATTAGAGTTGTGGACAAACGAGAGAGAGAGAAACAGGGAGACTTTTGAGACAAGGTTCCAGGGAGGACAATCTTCAGTGAACTCACTGCAGTTCACACTGTGAATTCTGACATTGCATGGTGAGAGTCTTATTTTTTTCCAGTGTGCTCAGAGGTGACTAGGGTCTGGAGGGTGGATGATATTAAAACCACAGAAATTGAGGTATAAACCAAACACCTATTTAATCACTTATAATGAGAATTAACTGCAAAGGAGGCTAGAACACTTCATGTCAACTAGTTAGCAAGTTTCCTCCCTGTAACTAAGGTTATGTGGGAAAGTAATTATAATCAGGTTAATTCTTAGAGCATGGAGTCAGTTAGGTTCAGTTCAGTTGCTCAGTCATGTCCGACTCTTTGTGACCCCATGGACTGCAGCACACCAGGTCTCCCTCTCCATCACCAACTCACGGAGTTTACTCAAACTCATGTCCACTGAGTCAGTGATGCCATCCAATCATCTCATCCTCTGTTGTCCCCTTCTCCTCTCACCTTCAATCTTTCCCAGTGTCAGGGTCTTTTCAAATGAGTCTGCTCTTCGCATCAGGTGGCCAAAATATTGGAGTTTCAGCTTCAGCATCAGTCCTTCCAATGAACATTCAGGACTGATCTCCTTTAGGATGGACTGGTTGGATCTCCTTGCACTCCAAGGGACTCTCAAGAGCCTTCTCCAACACCACAGTTCAAAAGCATCAATTCTTTGGCACTCAGCTTTCTTCACCACCCAACTCTCACATCCATACATGGTTACTGAAAACCTATAGCCTTGACTAGATGGAGCTTGGTTGGCAATGTAAGGTCTCTGCTTTTTAATATGAAGTCATGGGGTGTTAGTTGACAATCTTAATGGCTTAGCAACCTAATGCCATTAGGCACAAATTGGGATGACCGGTGCCTCTATCCCATTGTGTATGGACCTGCTAAATTGTCTGTGGGTTAGTGTTCCCTCTCTGACACTGGAGAGATTACTTATATCCTATGGCTCTTTAATTACTCCCTCCTACTTCTACATCCCATGCAAAAACATTCTCTTGTTAACAATTCCTTCTTCATACTTGTAAAATGATTAGATTATTTCTTGCTTGCATCAACCATGTAGCACATTTGTCCCCCTCTGAAACTACAACCTTGATTGGACCTCGGGGTTCCCCAAGCCTTTGCAATTTCATACTGAATCTATGAGTAGGGTACATGTCATTTGCTCTCTGTAGATTTTAATTAGTTTCACTCTGAGATAAATTCACTTAGGTATAGGAATCATCCATGTAACTTTATGCTAACTCATTCTAATTGAAGAGGATGGTATCACTACCACAGCTTGTTTAAGTGGCAAACAAAATGGTCACTAGCTAGTGGGCAGGAAAGCATTGACCTAGCATCCTCTTCATATGCTCAGTCTGGCTGTTGGATTACCTCACACAGAGTACAAGAAGTCCCTGATTGGGAAATTCTCAACAAGTGGCTTCTAGGAGTAGGAGGGGAACTGAACTTCATAGCCCACAGGTAACTGTCTGTTCTTAGAAGCTATGAAATTTGGGGAAGAAGGAATGTTGCTGCAGAAGGAAAGTCTTCTGCATAAAATAAATTTGTGTGTGTGCTAATTCGCTTCAGTCGTCTCTGAATGTTTGTGACCCAGTGTACTCTAGCCCACCAGGTTCCTGTGTCCGTGGAATCTTCCAGGCAAGAATACTGCAGTATGTTGCCTTTCTCTCTCCAGGGGATCTTCCTGACCCAAGGATCAAACTCGCATCTATTGGCTCCTGCATTGGCAGGCAGGATCTTTACCACTAGTGCCACCTGGAAAGTCTGCATAACATAAAGGGACATTTTATATGTCAAAAGTACATGTACATAAAAATTAATGATAAATTGTGGTTGTCAATGTTTAGCTGCTAAGTCATGTCCACCTCTTTGGGACCCCATGGACTGTAGCCCACCAGGTTCCTATATCCTTGGGATTTCCCAGGCAAGAATACTGAAGTGGGATGACATTTCTTTCTCACTGGATCTTCCTGACCCAGGGATTGAACCCATGTCTCCTACTTGGTAGGCAGATTCTTTACCACGGAGATACCTGGGAAGTCTGTGATAAATTGTGGCACTAAGATAAAGAAAGATTGGTGGTTAAGTCAATTGAATGCTCCTATCAACATACCAGGACCACACTGGAGTCAGTAAGGAAAGTGACTGGAGGCCATTGGGTTAGTCCTTTATGACAGAATTGGTGGTGCTAGATCAGGATGCCTGCAGGTAATGCCAGAATCACTGAAATTTCAAATAGAGCTACCTGTTAGAGTCTCTCAAATAATCCCAACACTTGTGGGAATTTCTCAGCACAGGGGAACTATGTGCATTCAGGTCTCCTTGTTGTGAGAACATATGCAGTAAGGTGGATATATAGCAAGCTATTGATAAAGCAGACTCCTTGCAAATACAAATAAGAATTGCCACAGTGGTTAGTGAGACACTGATAAGTGAAAATATCTGTTTGCTAGTGCTTTAAGCTAAGGGTAATAAGGTCCTTGTTGGGTCTAGGTACTGTTAAACCACAATTTTCTAGGACAAGCTACAGCGATGCTTCAAGTTCTGAGTGGCCTTCCTGGATGCTAGGAAATACTGATTAACTAGTATTACATCAAGGAATCCATTATGGGAACATACTCTAGCATGAAGAATCAGGGAACAAAGAGCAGATCATTACCAGAATACACCAGGTATCACTGCATATCCTTAACACCTTTAGGGATTTTTCCTTTTCAGCCTAGCCCTGCTTTTGTTCAGTAGCATTGGGAATCCATACACAGAGTGGAGCTATGCCAAAAACACAGTACAAACAATCCCACCCTCATTTCATGGGGTTTATGGACAGATGGTGTTGATGTAAGTGTGCTGTATGCTTAGTTGTGTCCAACTCTTTGTGACTCCATGGTCTGTAGCCCCCAGGCTCCTCCATTTATGGAACTTCTCCAGGGAAGAATACTGGAGTGGATTGCCCTGCCCTGCTCCAGGGGAACTTCCCCACCGAGGGATTGAACCAAGATCTCCCACATTGCAAGGAGATTCTTTACTGTCTGAGCCAACAGGGAAGCCCATTGATGTATATACCCCAGGATCTTAAACATGAGATGGTTCAGAAAATTGTCTGCCATTAACTACTCTTTAAGATCCTCAACTAGTTAAGGGGTCCCCAGAGGTTATCTATAGGGGTAGAGCTTAGCATCAAGGGGCAGAGATCCTAGATCATGATGAGGCCTCTAGAGTCAGAAACTACTGAAGCGCCTGATCCTCAGTCTTCAGTGAGATTTAGTCAGCCAGGTCCCCTATATCAGGAAGCAAGGACATGCTTCAGACATAGTCATTATGATGTAACACATTCTCCAGCTCTCACTAAATAGTTATGAGAGGTCATCATCCCAGAGCATTTTGACTTGGACATAAGGCATGCTGGAACCTGAAGTAGGTTTGAAGCAAAAGGGAGGCAGCTAGGGCTTGGTTAAAAACATGCACCAACCTGAAGGGCTAATTCTCAAAGAAGTGTACCCAAAGTTCCAAGCAGAGAACTTGGAGGTCAATACCATCAAGTCTGTCAATAGCAAAAGTTTCAGGTGGTTGGGCAAGCAGAAGCATTTAAATAGTAATAAAATAAATTATCATATGAAATGGTGGCAGAACTGTGTTTCCATGAAAGTTGGTTTATTTTAAGGTATAACCTAGTCAACAGGTGGATCAGGATTCAGCTTCTAGTAGAAAATGTTGGTAGGATATGGAAATGCAACTGGGACTTCAGCCAAGAGTCCTAAAACAAAACAAAACAAAACAGGGAACTAGCATACAGACCCATGAGAGTGAGGGTGAGAGGCTTGGGGCCAAGTGTAGGCATAAAGACTAGGGCCACAAAACTCAACCCTGGTGTCTATTACCCATTGGTGAGGATGAAGTTTTCCAATGCATTGCCAGGGTGGTTTCCATTGGGTCCGAATGAGCAGACTTTTTCCTTCAGGCTTTCAGTACTCTTGGAAAGTTAGTCCCAGGTGCAGAAAGTGCATGGAAGTTGTTTTCATCATTGTTGGATCAGGTCTGGTGATGGGTCAGCAAATGAAAAAGATCTGGTTGTTGAAATTCTCAGAAGCATGAATTTCCGACTGTCTGTAAAGTGGTATCAGTTCCCCACCTGTATTTTAAACGTTAATGCAGGATATCAAACAGTAAGGCTGGAGGTGAGAGAGTATGTTAACAATGTGACTTGCCTGGGTTCCTCTTACTGATGAGTTGGGTTATTTATCTTTGCTGGGGCTTGAGAACTTTTGGCAAGGCCATCAGTTGTGAACTGGCCACTGTGGCTGCAGTAGAGGCATGGCTGAATTTTCTGCCGGCGGCCTCTTTTGATTGGAATGAGAGGTGTCTCGCTTCCTTGCAGCTGTGTAGGGCCTTCGTTGGATGCTGGCTGTGTGTGGTTGGAGAAGCTTGGTAGAAGATCTGGCTGGTCACTACATTTCTTGCCGAACTGAATACACTGAGTTATGACAAGTTTTGGGAGATTGCCCATCAGATCTGGGTCACTAACTTCATCCTGAATGGAGTCAGCTAGTTCTTCTTGGAAATGGTCACTCTGACTGGATTCATCATATCTTAGATTCTCAGGAAGGAGCTGAAAAGTAGTGTCATCCTGCTGAGAAACGTTGTCTTCTTTGTCAACCTTAGTATTCACCAGGGGGTTCATTTTCTCTTTTGTGGGCTCACCAAGTGACTGCTGGAACTCAAGAAGAAAGTTCTCATACTACTTCAACAGCAATAGGGTAGGAGGTGATTCTGAGTAACTCTCTATTGCATCTTCTGGAATAAAATGGGACTAGGCAGAATTGAGTACCACAACTGGATACCAGTGGCAGACAGTGGTTTTGCTCTGTGACCAGAGGGACAGTGTCATGAGCAAGTAGCCAAAGCTGTTAGCTATTAGGTCACAAAGGTATGTTGAGAGTTCAGAAATGCTCAAAACTGTTATCCACTGTTCAATGTTGCCTCTTCTTTAGGAAAATGCCAATATTATCCCCATTTAGAAGAAATAAATTACCTGAAGACACACAGAAGATTTGGAATTAAAAAGATAAAGGAAACAGATGTAGTAGATTACTTTCATCATTCCTTTGATAATATAGGGGCATTTTGCCCTCAGACTAAGCCTTTGGTTCTAAATTTTCCTTCTTTATAAGAGAATCAAACAAGTTTACAACCCAAACTGATCTTAGAAATCATCCAGACTACATTCATAATTTCACAGAGAAGAAAAACAGACTCAGAGAGGTAAAAATATTTATCCAAGGACACACAACCAGCTAATATCAGAGATGTCATGTTCATCAGGACTGCTGTCCAAAACAGCACTTCCTCTGGGACTCCAAATGAAGTCATGCTTACATTACTTTGGCATAATGACAGTTCTTGGCCCTGGTCATGCCAAAACCTCTCAGGGAACCAGTAGCTTTGGCATCTCTATGGGGGTTGTTAGAAATATAGACCCTAAGACCCCGTCCCAGACCTACTGGATGAGTATTCCATTTTAACAAGATTCTCTAGGTGATTTGAGTATTCACTGAAGCTTGAGAAGTGCTGCTCTAGAGAACTCTCAGGCAGAATGGAATACTTACTGGTTGAACTTGATCCGCAGTGCTCCAACCATAGTCTGCAGTTCTGAGGGGATCTGGTTGCTGTACTGGTTGTTAATTTTTTCTGGCTTTCTAGTCTGTCTCTGAGGTCACATGGTTGCCATGGAGATGATTAAGACATCACAGGCAAGGTGAAGAGGTGAGATTGAGAACCTAGGCAACAAGAACAAAATATTCTTAAAGTATAAAATTCACAATGTTTAGTCTTCCCTGCATTGATAACAAGAGTTAAGAAACCAGGAGGCACTTAAAACACACCCCAATCATTCGTATATTGGTTAAACTTTTCTGATACATATTGAATTCCCTTTATTGTCCTTTCCTTGTGCCATGTAGCATTTAAATTGTCCCTTTGTGGGCAAAAAATGTGTATTACTGAATGCAAGATTTGATCCCCTAGGTTTTATGTGATGGCACCTTGTCTCTAGACCTGTGGAAGATATTATTGGAAGAATTAATTAGTTAAACAATCTGGCAGAAACTTGGGCTGGAAACTTACCCAAATCATCAGTTGGATGATTTGATTGAAGACTTGTTTGCCACTCAATTATCTCTTTCATGTATTAAGAATGACTATTTTGTCTACCTAAAAGGGGTGTTATGATGAAACAATGACTGTTGTTGTTAATGAAACAACAATGGTGTTGTTAATGAAACAATAGATAGGTGCTCTGAGTAGCAACAAAAAATGAGTGATTTGCTTCCAAGTTTGTTCCAATGTATATGTACAATGACAATGGTGAGGATCTTCCCTCAGTGCATAATACTGAAGTAGGAAGAAACTGTCATACATCCTTTCTTCTTTTCCATATCTCACCTACCTATTTTCTTATTTACCTTTCAGAGATCTTTCACTTTCCAGGGCCATCCATGAGTTTATTACTGCCTACCCAGCTAGGTATCAACAAATAAAAGATGTCAATTAATTATCGAAGGTTAATGATTGACCTTTATCAAGGCATTTCATTTTTGTGTGTGTGTGTGTGCAATTTTATTCTGGTGAGGGTACAGTGGTAGCTCATTGTGGTTTTCCTTTACATTTATCTGATTATTAGTGAAGTTAAGACTTTTTTCATGTTATTGGCTATTTTTTGGAATGTCTATTCAAGCCTCATGTCTAATATTCTGTTGATTTATTTGTGTCTCTTTCTTTTTGAACTCGGTTGTTGTTGCTTCGTTCCTAAGACATGTCTGACTCTTGTGTAAACCTTATCAATTCTAGATACAATTCCCTTATGAGTTATATGAAATGAAAATATCTTCTTCCACTGTAGGGTTTTCATTTTTCATTTCCTTAAAGATGTTTTTTGATGAGCAGAGTTTTAAAATTTTAGTATAACTCATTTAATCAGCCTTTCCTTTAACAGTTGATTGGTTTCTTCTGTATTTTCTTTAAGAAGTCTTTGCCTACCTCAAGATTATGAAAATGCTTTTTTCTAAGTTATCTTCTAACACCTTTCTTATTTTTAAACTTAGCTTTATAAAATGCTTGGAGTTGATATGTGAATATTGTGTAGAGTACAAGTTAAATTTCATTTTTGTTCTATATAAATATCCAGCTGACTGAAGATTATTCACTGAAAAGAGAGTCCATTTTTCATTGCTCTGGGGTGCCACCTTTGTGATGCATCAAGAAAAAAACTATCTCTTGGAGCTCCAGTTATATATTTTAAAAATATTCCGTATATCTTTTATGGTGTTTTCTGTAATTTCTGCCCACTGTGTTTGTGTCCTTCATTTATTTTCTTCTGAGTTATCTTCTGCCTTATTATTTCTCTCTTCAACTGTGTCTAATCTGCTATTAAACTTACTCATTGGGATTATTTCTGTGATTGTATTTTTTATTGCTACTTTCCATTCGGTTCTCCTTTACATTTCCAACTTCCCTGACCAAATTCTCTATCTTGTTATACAAATCCTTTCACATATCAGCTATTTAACAACCATAAGGCATTCCATTTTTTCTCTCAAATTTAATGTGTATAAGAATCTTCTTGATCCCAGTCTATAGCAACTTTTTTTTCATTTATTTTTATTAGTTGGAGGCTAATTACTTTACCATATTTTAGTGGGTTTTGTCATACACTGACATGAATCAGCCACGGATTTACATGTATTTCCCATCCCGATCCCCCCCTCCCACCTCCCTCTCTACCCGATCCCTCTGGGTCTTCCCAGTGCCCCAGCCCTGAGCACTTGTCTCATGCTTCCAACCTGGGCTGGTGATCTGTTCCACCCTTGATAGTATGCTTGTTTCAATGCTGTTCTCTCAGAACATCCCACCCTCACCTTCTCCCACAGAGTCCCAAAATCTGTTCTGTAAATCTGTGTCTATTTTTCTGTTTTGCTTATAGGGTTATCATTACCATCTTTCTAAATTCCATATATATGCGTTAGTATACTGTATTGGTCTTTATCTTTCTGGCTTACTTCACTCTGTATAATGGGTCCAGTTTCATCCATCTCATTATAACTGATTCAAATGAATTCTTTTTAATGGCTGAGTAATATTCCATGGTGTATATGTACCACAGCTTCCGTATCCATTCATCTGCTGATGGGCATCTAGGTTGCTTACATGTCCTGGCTATTGTAAACAGTGCTGTGATGAATATTGGGGTGCACGTGTCTCTTTCAGATCTGGTTTCCTTGGTTTGTATGCCCAGCAGTGGGATTGCTGGGTCATATGGCAGTTCCCCTGCTGCTTTTAAGAAATATTTGAGAACTTACCCTGCTATATTTTCAAGCTGTTCTACATAACCCATTGGAGGAGATGCTTTGAACTAGGGTTGAACTCTTAGTCTTGGTCTCCAGATATTCTAAGGAGTGCCAGTATAGGAACTAAATGTGAATGTTTTATTCATTCAATTGTGTCCAACTTTTTGCAACTCCATGGTCTGTAGTCTGCCAGACTCCTCTGTCCATGGAATTCTCCAGGCAAGGATACTAGAGTGGGTAAGCATTCCCTTCTATAGGAGATCTTCCTGACCCAGGATCAAACCTGGGTCTCCTGCCTTCTAGGCAGATGCTTTACCATCTGGGCTACCAGGGAAGCCCATAGGAGCTAAACTGATACACAAATAACCCTCATAAGGTAACCACAGGGGCATACTGTTTGGACTTATCTGAAGACTTGGCTGTGACCCCAGCTCTGCCACCATCTATACTGAGAAACTTGGGCAAGTTATTTCGTCTCTTTGGGTCAGTTTCTGAATCTGTATAATGAAAGGACAGGTTTCTCAATGTTTATCAAGATAAGATATCATGATTCAGAAGGGCTATCAAGAGGCCTAGGAATCTGTATTTTTAGGTTTCAGTTCAGTTCAGTTGCTCAGTTGTGTCCATTTCTTTGTGACCCCATGGACTGCATCATGCCAGGCCTCCCTGTCCATCACCAACTCACAGAGTTTACACAAACTCATGTCCACTGAGTCAGTGATGCCATCCAACCATTTCACCCTCTGTTGTCCCCTCTCCTCCCACCTTCAATCTTTCCCAGCATCAGGATCTTTTCAAATGAATCAGTTCTTCACATCAGGTGGCCAAAGTACTGGAGTTTCAGCTTCAACATCAGTCCTTCCGATGAACATTCAGGACTGATTTCCTTTAGGATGGACTGGTTGGATCTCCTTGCAGTCCAAGGCACTCTCAAGAGTCTTCTCCAACACCACAGTTCAAAAGCATCAATTCTTCGGTGCTCAGCTTTCTTTATAGTTCAACTCTCAAATCCATACATGACTACTGGAAAAACATAGCCTTGACTAGACAGACCTTTATTTGCAAAGTAATGTCTCTGCTTTTTATTTTTTTTAATTTATTTATTTTAATTGGAGGCTAATTACTTTACATTATTGTAGTGGTTTTTGCCATACATTGACATGAATCAGCCATGGGTGTACATGTGTTCCTCATCCTGAACCCCACTCCCACCTCCTTCCCCATCCCATCCCTCTGGGTCATCTCAGTGCACCAGCCCTGAGTACCCTGTCTCATGCATCGAACTTGGACTGGAGATCTGTTTCATGTATGATAATATTCATGTTTCAGTGCTATTCTC